ATACAAAGAATATTAATTGCCGCTAAAAATATATATTTAACAACAATTGCTAATTAATTATCGCTAAAGCTCATTTTTAGTATAGTGCATAACCCTCTTAGTTGAAGGATTTTGATTATAAGGGATGTAATATTTGATAATATGACAAGCTGGATTTGGAGAGGAAGCAACGATAAAATGCAAGAACAAATTCCTATGCCCACTAGAATCACTTTTGATGCAATTCAACAGCCAACTCCTACAGCTACAGCATTCGGTTCTAGTACCACTTCTCTAGATTTATTTTCTTCAACTTCATGGAGCAGAAACTATTTATCTACTACTCTTGAAGAGTCTTCAGACGAGCCAATTTCTTTAAGAAGATCAACAAGGCTTAAAAAATTGAACCCAAGTACGTCAATGACATTTATACAACTTGTTAATTTTCTTTTGCTATTTCAGATCCTACACTTTATGGAGAAGTAACTGAAAAGAAAGAGCGGCGCAGAGCGATGTTAGAAGATATGAAATCTATCAAAAAAATGGCACATGAAAAATGGTGGAACTACCAGAAGACAAAAATGCAATTGATTTGAAATGGGTGTTCAAGACAATGTTTGCAACGAATAGAAACCTGCTGAAGCATAAAGCTCGTTTTGTGGCAAAAGTATATGCATAACAATATGGTATTGATTTTGAAAAAAACATGTTTTCCGATTGCTCGATTTGAAATTTTTAGACTTGTTCTAGCATTGATTATAAAGTCACAATGGCTAGATTATCAATTTGACGTCAAGTCGGTATTTCTTAACGGAGACCTATAAGAAGAGGTCTACATAGCACAACCTTAAGATTTCCTAAGGAAGAGTGATAAAAATAAAGGTCTATAAGCTAAAAAGGGCATTATATGGTTTGAAGCAAGCCCCTAGATATTGCATTATTCAAAGTATGATCTGGTCAAGTAAGTGTGTTAGTAGTGTCATATATTTTAGAGCTAGTTATTAGCTAATATATATGTTGATCATGGTGCAATACTTTCTAGTTGTGTTTTTTGTTAGTAATTTTTTGTTTAATTAATGAAAGTAGTGGTCATTTAGTGACTTAGTTGTTTTTTATTTTTTAGTCTATATAATGTTGTACTTTCCTATTATTTCACATACTGAAAAATAGAAGAGACTTCAGCATACAATTATCTTAACCTTCAAGTCTTTGTTTCTTTTTAAAGTTTTCCTGCCTATTTATTCCAACAAAAATAATGAGTAAATATATAGTTACCATAAGTATCAATGATGATAGTTTTAAATTGTTTATATGAATGATGGTGATACGAAGAAATAACAATACCACGATGAATCAAGAACAATGAAAAAGAACGACAATGGAATATTATTTGTACGTTTAAAAAAAAAGAATCCTAAACTAATTTGGTAAAATAAATTTAAAATCATAGTTACCTTACAACAATATAATTAATATTTGTGTTGCATAAACTAAAAGTAAAAATAAATTGAAAAACTTAACTTCTATATGCCTTAGAATTAAAGGATGGTGCAAAAAGATTTCCACTGAAAGAGCACGCAAGTTAATCTCTAATATTTAATGGCACAGAATTCGAAATTAATGAAATGAATATGAGGTAATAACATTTTCTGCCATAATTTATTAAAAGGGAATCGTTAGGGTGGGTAGTAGTCTGGTGGATCCTTGTACTTGTATTCGTTTGTATTTTGGACCCTTCTACTTACCCTTTTGTCATCTAGATCCTTGAACTCAATAAAAGAATGATTGTTAAACCCCTCTAACCATGTGTCTACCTCACTCTCCCTTGCATAGATGACATGTAAAATTCATGTCACTCACATTAATACCACGTCATAATTATATGTATTATCTATTTTAAAATAAAATATTCATTTATTCCAAAATAGTGAAACCACCATCTTCTCAAAGCTTCCACCATCAACCTTCATCATAACCACCCAAACTCCATTTTCGGCCAGCTTCAACCAACAATATAGAACCCCATTGTTCTGACCTCCATGGATCCACCAGTGACCTCAAGGTTCACCAACAAGCAACATGAACAACCAACACATGTTGCTATTTCATTTTTCCATTTCTAGCAAATTATTGGGCTCCAAATCACCGGAAACAAACCACAAAGTCACCAAGGACGCATTTTTCAATCATTTCCAGCTAAAACAACCATCGAAAAATTGATCTCGACTTTACCCAAAACCCCATACAAGTCTCCACTGGTATCCTAATTAAGTGTTTGGTCTTCATTTTGATTATGGCCTCATAAGGTCTAAGGCTCTTAGGGTAATATGATGTGCAATTTCCTATTGCAATGCATCGATATACACGCCTTTGTCCTCTGTTATTGATTGCAATCTTTCATCTCCAAAATCATCTTGAATGAAACAAAACAAAGAAGAAAAGTTAATCAAAATTATGAACAATTTTTTTGTATGTTTTGATTTTAAAAATTAATTAACCCTTTTTTTCGGCGAACAGCCGCATAATGCAACTTTCTCAGACCCAAAACCCGAAACTCATTTGCTGTACAAAAACACTATCAACCACTATCGACACCATTCTCCGGTGAAACAGCCGTCAACAGTGAGCTCACAAACAGTGGCGAGCCACCAAAAAATCTGCTACCTAAGGCGAAATCTAGTCAAACCGACACCTTTAGGTCTCCACTCGATCCAGCCGTGAAATGGCAAAAATCCACTGGAGAAAGCTGCCACATCCACCATTCGTCTTGCCGGATGAAAGAAAAAAATGGTTGAGCAGGGATGATTATGCCTGAAAAAGTAGGTGGGTGGGATGAAGAAGAAGGGTTTTTTTATTTTTTTTATTTTTTATAATTAATTATTTTATTCTTTTATAATTTTTATAATTATAATTTTAAATATGGTGTTCAGTTGCTTTTACACGCGTGTATTCACTATGTCTAGCCAACTCAGACATTCAAATGCCACATAAGCTTATCCAATGGTCAGAGAGACTTATTAAATTGTGTTTTATTGAGTTCAGGGGTCTAGAAGACATTAGGATAAGTAGAAGGATTCACAATACAAACGCATATAAGTATAAGGGTACACAAGACCATTCCGCCTATCTAATATACAGAGTTTTTCTAGTCTAAATTGTGACTGGAATTTGTATTAATCCCCCCAAATGTTAATAGTTAAATAAGCCAAATAACATCATGTATAACCATAAGAAAATAAATCCTTACAAAACACACACTAATTTTAACCTTTTAAGGTTTTCAAATTTTAAATTTAATAAGTTTCAACTTTAAATGTATGTCTTGTCAATTAACTTCAACACCAATAAACATTGTTTTGATTTTTATGGAAAAATGCACAAGTACCCCCTCAACCTATGTCCGAAATCTCAGAGACACACTTATACTATACTAAGGTCCTATTACCCCCCTGAACTTATTTAATAAGTAATTTTCTATCCCTTTTCGGGCTACCTGCACTAGCTTGGAAAAAAAAGTCAACCATTGTTGGGTCCACAAGATAGTTTCATGTAGGCCGAAAAGGGGTAAAAAATTATTAATAAAATAAGTTCAGGAGAGTAATAGGACCTTAGTATAGTATAAGTGTGTCTCTGAGATTTCGGGCACAGGTTAAGGAGATACTTGTGCATTACCCCAATTTTTATTACTAATAATAAATATATGACACCAACTAATTTATTATATCACACGAATTTTAAATTGTAATTTAATGAGTTAGACTTTTAGATGACGTCCTTTACGGAAACTGTGAACTATTTCTTGAGATTTTTGCTTAATTCAACCTCGAATCTAGCTGGACGTTCTTTATAGACTTCATGTTGTTGGATATTGACTGAAATCATTCATACTCCCAAGTCTTCGGTATAAGAAGTAAAAAATAATTCCTACATCTATAGAAACTCTATCAAATTCTGGGAGGGCTTCCTCCTCCCCTTGACTTCTCCATATTCATCGATCGGAGGAATTTGTTGATATCGAAGCAAATCTATAAATTTGCGTCCATAGAAAAATTGTTAGTTTTAAAACAAACTAATCTGTGTCGATTTTTTCAGTCGTCTGCTCGTTGTCGTGCTATCTCCGGTTGATCTTCCTGGTCTCCCAAATCTTGATAGATAAGACAAAATATTTTATGCCAAAACAAATGAAACATAAAAGGAAAATCTTTAAGAAAATAAATTTTTGAGAAGTAATATTTTTATAAAGGTTATTGCCAAGTGTCATGTCGTGTCATGCCTAACGAACTTCTTTGAGCTTGATGCTTGGAGGTATATCATATTATTCGACGGGGAATATTCCAAGTACTCTAGACATGTCGATGAACCCATGTTGAAATTTTGAGGCCATCCTCAAAAATTTTGTCCTAGTTACGTGTCTCAAATTTATCTTTGACTACTGGTGAGCAGATCACCGAATTTTGAGATCCTCTCAAAAATTTTGTCCCGGTTGCAAATCTAGACATATTTTCAGTCTTGACTTGTTGCAGAGAATGTTCTTTTATGAGAATTTTTGAGTCATTCTCAAAAATTTTGTCCCGATTTCTATTGTAAAGAGAAATAGAAACCTTACGGATATATGACCGAAGCCTTGTGGAGCGTACGTATCACATTGAGGTAGGAATCAGGTCAAATTTAGTTTTCCCCTCACGATTGACAATAATAAGAAATCACAAAGAAACCGACCGAGGCTGACATAGGCCGCCTAACGATTGACAATAATAAGAAATCACAAAGAAACCGACTGAGGCCGACATAAGCCTCCTACGTATTTCATTCTTAAAAAGTCAGGTCAAACGTAGTTCAAATAAAATAAATATTTAGAGGGGATAAACGGGGATACCGAGGCGACATAGGCCGTCAATGTATCTTATTCTTGAGAATTCAGGTCAGACGTAGTTTTACAAGAGGGATAAAAATTTTAAACAAAACAAATACAAGCAAAATAGAACAATTACAAATAAATGACAAAAATAGAAACTGAAACTTCAAATGTAGTATCTCTTGACAGCATCTGAATTGATAAGTTTCGGCCATGCGGTGTCATCCATCTCTGACAGGACCAAAGCGCCTCTGGACAATACCTTGAGAACCATGTAGGGTCCTTGCCAATTTGGCGCGAATTTTCCCTTGTATTCGTCTTGATGAGGAAAAATATGCTTAAGGACCAACTATCCAACTTCGAAAATTCTGGTTCTTACTCTCTTGTGAAAATCACGAATCATTCTCTGTCGATACAACTGACCGTGAAAAATGGCAACCATTCTCTTCTCATCAATCAAAGTTAGTTGATCAATACGCCTGCTGACCCATTTGGCATTACTTAACTCAGCTTCTTGGATGATTCTCAAAGACAGTATTTCGACTTCAGCAGGAATGACTGCTTCTGTTCCATATACTAGAAAGTATGGAGTAGATCCAATCGACGTTCTGACACTCGTCCGATAATCCAATAAAGTATATGGCAACATCTCATGCCAACCTCGATGATTTTTGATCATTTTTCTCAAAATCTTCTTGATATTCTTATTGGTGGCTTCTAGGCTCCATTCATTTAAGGATGATAAGCGGTTGAGTTTCGATGAATGACATAAATTGTTCACAAATATCTCTCATCAAGTCACTGTTGAGATTTGCGCCATTATCAGTAATGATGGATTCTGGTACTCCAAACTTGCATATCAAATTGTTGCGAACAAAATCAGCTACAACTTTCTTGGTTACCGACTTGTAAAAGCTGCTTCCACCCACTTGGTGAAGTAATCAATAGCAACCAAGATAAATCTATGTCCATTAGAAGCGGTTGGCTCTATCAGACCGATGACATCCGTACCCCAAGCTACAAAAGGCCAAGATGAATTCATAGCATTAAGTTCGTGAGGCGACACTCGGATCAAATCACCGTGCATTTGACATTTACGATATTTTTGCACAAACTTGCAATAATTAATCTACATAGTCATCCAGAAATAACCACCTCGAAGGATCTTTCTTGCCAAAGTGATCCCATTCATATGTGTGCCACAAACTCCAGCATGTATCTATTCAATAAATTTTGCAGCTTCAACAACATCAACACATTTGAGAAGAGCCAAATCAGGAGTCCTTTTATACAGGATTTATCCACTTAGAAATAAATTGAGAGCCATACGGCGTATCAACTTCTTCTGGTTGGACGTAGCATATACATGATAAATCTTGGACTCTAAGTACTTCTTTAAATTGAAATACCACGGCAAACTGACTGGTTCTCCTTCAACATGTGAACAGTGGACTGGATGTTCTTTCAGCTCTATATTCAGAGGATTAATATAATCCGTATTTGGATGTAAATCATTGAAGCGATAGTGGCAAGAGCATCGGCCAACTCATTCTGTATTCTGGGAGTATGTCTGAACTCGATCCTACAAAATATCTTGCACAACTGCTGTACATACTGCACGTAAGGTATAATCTTTGGATTTTTCACGGCCAACTCCGCTTGAACCTGATGAATCACTGAATCTCCAATATACAACAACTCATGGACATTCATATAGATGGATATTTTCAAACCAAGAATACAAGCTTCATATTCAACCATGTTGTTCGTGCAATAAAATCGGAGCTTCGCTGTCATGGGATAATGGTGACTAGATTCTAGCACTAAGACTGCTCCGATGCCTTTCCCTTTATGATTTTCCGCTCCATCAAAGAATAGTCACAACCTGGATATGCTTCAGAAATATCTTCACCTACAAATGACACTTTTTCATCGTGAAAATAAGTCTTAAGTGGTTCATACTTTTCATCAACGGGATTTTCTGCAGGATGATCAGCTAAATCCTGTGCTTTTATCGCCTTCTGAGTCACATATACAATATCAAACTCACTCAACAGCATTGGCCACTTAGCTAATTTTCCAGTCGACATCACCTTTCGGAAGTTATACTTCAGCAGATCAATTCTAGAAATGAGGCATGTAGTATAAGAAGACAAATAATGTCTCAACTTCTGTGCAAGCCAAGTCAAAGCACAACACTTCCTCTCTAACAAAGTGTAACGAGACTCGTATGGAGTAAACTTCTTACTTATGTAATAGATAGCCTTATCCTTTTTTTATATCTTGTCGTGTTGACCAAGTACGCATTCGAATGCACTATTTGAGATGGACAAATACGGAAACAATGGACTCCCTTCTCGTGGAGGAACCAATACCGGTGGGTTGGACAAATATCTCTTGATTGCATGAAAAACACTTTTGACACTCTTCAGTCCATGCTTATTCCTATTTAAACTCATTTAGTTGTCATCGATTTGATTAAGTTGTTTAAACAAAAAATAGCGTCTCGCGAGGATTTGGGTATTTAATGACAGACAACAAATTATTAAGCAAATAAGAAAGAGAGAGAGAGAGAGATTGGTTATAATTCGGGCTTTCTGTTTGCCTGGATCAGTATTTGGACCCATTTGTTTTGGATTTTTGACCCATTTATTTTTGTACATGTCCCATACTAATCAGACAGTTAATACTAATGGCCTTTGGCTCAAAAATTAACAAAATATAACATTAAAAAATGTGTGAACTTTGGGCCCCAAAACTTCAACTTTTCAACTAGCTTCATATTCTTCAAACTCTGAAAAGTACGCCGATTTTTATGGCTGACTTGAGAGAAGAAATTTTGCGGGGCCTTCCCAGTGGACTTTCGAATTGATGAAGTCAACTCAAAAGGATCAACTAGGTCTCATCCCAACAGGAAAATGCTGAGAAATAGAAGTCTCAAAACTCATGAGGGAAAGTTCATGCGCAAAAGATGAAAAAGAAGAGTTATATTCATATTAATGCTTATGGATGCCAAGTACTATGTTTGAAGTATAATAAGCAAAACATACCACAATTGATTCACTTCTAATGACCTCATTTTACATAAATAAAATAAAAAATATTAGAGCTATCACATACTGAATATCAATTGATTTGTCAAGAGAAATATTACATGCTCATTTACTTGAGACAAAGAAAATGAATTCACATGAAAACACTTATAGATTTATCCAACTAGAAAAATAATAATGACGAATAACAAGGGAAAACCATATCATGTTAACATGGTATTTGGTAGAAAGCTAGACTTAAGACAAGGTATTCAATGAAACTACAAAAACAAAGCAAACGAAGAAGAAAGAAAAAGAAAAAAAAAGATCATAACAATAACAAAATTTTACTACCAACAGATTATCATAAGAAACTTTCAACAAAGCACGACTCACATATTAAATCTCATCAGACAATATAGGCCGCAACTGTTAAAAACTAAACATGATAACGAGAAAAACCAAAAGCTTAACTAATGGAAAGAAATCCAAATGCAAATGCTTTTATGATGATCTAATCTTAAGATATTAGCATCGTCTTTAAGGATTCAAATATCTTATAAACATATAGTTATCCTAAAGAATGATACCAAACCTAAATAATCAAGTATTATGCCTCATGCTTAAACAAATAAGAAACAACAACTAAAATAAAAAAAACATAAAATGAGGCAGTAAAATATTCTTATCATACTCTAAACAATAACCGAGATGCAAAAACAAAATCAGCCCACAAACAGAAATAAACCCACCTATAGTGGTTGAATCTAGAATTTGAATATAACAGACTACAACATGAGGTTATACATGGGATAACAAGTTATTAATTTAAAGAAATCGTCTCGATATTAAGATGGGATCAGCCAAACGACTTTGAGCAAAAGGACTGACCCTTGTCAACTTCCAACAAACAATAAATCAAATACTCCCAAAATAATAACATTCGAAGCAACTAATGCGATTGAGATTTCAAACAATCAATGTATCAAGTATAAAAGCTACTTGAATCGAAATGGGCATTACCTTTCGAGGTGCAGCAAGCCGAGATGAGAAACGAGTTGGAGACGACTTCTTCAACCCAAACAGATGAGAACCTAAAACACAAGTGACAAACTCTATTTATCCTAAGTTGTTCTATTGGGATGGGTAAAAATAGTAGCCAACTTTTTTAATTTTCCTTACTGAGACCAAAATTTCTTCCTTTTTTTTCGATTCTCTGTAATTCCGTCTTAATATTTCTCAAAAAAAATCCCTTCTCTCATAGTAAAGACGAAAGAGTATATATAGGAGACAAACTAGTGGACTTTTAGGGTGAAAATACGATCGGATCTTGATGGGAAAGGCCCACCCTAAGTTTGAATTTCAAAAACCCTTTTCCAATTTTGGATCGACAACCCTTTTCTGAAAAAAATCGTCTCATTTCAGAAAGGGAGGGGAGAATCGACACTTGAGATCGGTTGCCTCGTACTTGAGACTCTACGTGGACTCATCTCGCCACGTCAAGGACTAATTCGCGTGCCTTGCTCTGTTGTTGCGAATCAAATGAGTTGAGGGCATGATATTGGCCTGCTCTTCCCCACTTTCCGTTACACTTGCTCTCGCTGTTCACGCGCCTGAACCTCTCCATGGCTTGCTAGTATCTGGATTCACTGGCGTTCTAATTTTTGCGTCTGCTCACGCGAGGAAGAAGAGAAAGGCGAGTGGGTTGGGTATCGACTTTGTTTGGATTTTTTTGTTGATTGCATTGCTTGGATGGAAATATTTAATGGGTTGGTGAAATAAAGGATTTAGATCGGCTAAAAATAATTAATATGGATTGGGCCGCTGAAGAGTTAGAGAAGGGAAAGGACATAGGGCTGGGAATTAGACCAATAAATGGCCCAACTTCCGGTCTTAACAAAATGAGTTAATTTATTTTGCTAATAATAATATAAATTAATTAATTAATAAGCTTCATAATTTTAACAAGATAAAATAGTTAACTCAATTATAACTAATGACTCAAATCATAAACTGGCAACTTAAACAAAATCAACTTTATAAAGTATTAAGTAAGACCAAAATCTTTTGGGACGATTTTTTGAATATTTATAAAAAAAATTAATTATATATACAATTATATAAATTTATATATTACTTAAAATATAGTAAGATAAACTAATAAATTTAACTATAAACTAAGGATCCGAACTACAAGTTTCTAAAACCAATTTAAGAAAGCGTTAAGTAAAACTAAAAAAAATTGCGACAATTTTCAAATATTTCGTAAAATAAACTAATTGTATAAAACATATAAACACACACACACACACACACACATGCACACACACATATATATACGTAATATACATACATATATATTACTTATACAATTAAGAAAATCAACTAAAACAATTTTAAAATGACTAAAAAAAAATTTTGAATTTGAAAACATCAATTATGTTAACTCGTTTGGAAATCAAGAAGCTCGAGAAATAATTTCCAATAGGGGGGCCAAAATTGGGTGTCAACAGGATGGGTATTCTTACTTGTTCAACTTTATACAAATTTTACTTTGTACTGGTTCACAACTTGGATGTAAGACATCGATATCAATTAACCTCAACTGTGGATGTAAGACATCGATATTATTTAACCTCAACTTAAAAGGCATGTTTATGTCTTATTGTCTTTATGTATTCTCAACTCTAACTTGCTCTAAATTGAGAGTTGAGTCAGGTAAGGAATTTAGAGAATTAGTCTACAAATTTATGGAGGAGTTCGGTAAGCCCAACATAGTAGATTTCTTTCCTATTCTTAGAAGGATGGATCCTCAAGGGATCAGGCGACTCATTAGCATTCATGCTAGAAATTTTCTTAAGCTTTTTGAGGGGTTGATTGATGAATGCGTAGAGTAGAGGAAGCTGCATACTAATACACGTAGCAATGACAATGTTCTTGATGTCTTCCTCAATGTTAACCAAAAAGATCCTGCGGTAATTGAAAGAAAGGACATAAAACATATGTTCCTCGTATGTACTGTTTATTTTTTACCAAATGTTGCTATGTTTGGATTCATTTGGTTTCTTTTTGATGTTATTTGTTTGACATATATATTTTTTCACCTCTAATTTTAGGTGATATTCTTTATTTTTAGTCAGTCAAAGAAAAAAGAATGATATAGTTCTATATGAATGTGAAATTAGGTCTTAGTCTAACTCACACCCTAAAAGCTAGTTCAAAGGGAGGAGGATTGCACAAGCCTTATAAGGAGTCCACCCATCTCATTAGCTACCGATGTGGGACTTTTGTCATTCTTGAACACCCCACCTCATGCCCAGTGCTTAGCATCTGGTGCGCGGACAATTTTGATTTTGGGGGTCTCAACATCGGGTGAGACGGACCTTGCTCTGATACCATGTGAAATAAGGTCTTAGGCCTAACTCACACCCCAAAAGCTAGCTCAAGGGAGGAGGATTACCCAAGCCTTATAAGGAGTCCACCCATCTCATTAACCACCAATGTGGGACTTTTGATTCTTGAACAATGAAGTAATAATTTAATTTTACAATGTCTGCTTGACTCTGAATTAGATGATTTATAACCTCACAAACTAGATAGTCTCAACTAACAAATATACACTCTAACTTTGTATTGTATGATCTTTTTGTTGCAGGAACTGAAACAACTTCAAATACAGTAGAATGGGCAATGTCAGAAGTCATGAAAACCCCAGAAGTTATGAAGAAAGCCCAAATCGAGCTCGAAAAAGTTATTGGCAAAGTCAAGATAATAGAAGAAAGGAATGTTCCACTCCTTCCTTATTTGAAATACATTGTGAAAGAAACCATGCGATTACACCCACCAGGTCCCTTGTTTTTGCGCACCGCCAAACAAGATGTTGAATTGTGTGGCTATGTCATCCCGAAAGGCTCTCTAGTTCTAATTCATGTATGGTTTATTGCCCGCAGCCTAACAATTTGGGAGGATCCTTTGGTATTTAATCCATAAAGATTTTGGGGTTCGGAATTTGAGGTTAGGGGAAAGATTTTGAGTTAATTCCATTTGGTGGTGGACGGAGAATAAGCCCTAGGTTACCTTTGGCAATGAGGACAGTTTTAGTTATATTGGGTTGATTGTTGAAATCATTTGATTGGAAGGTTAAAGGGGAGATAGAACCAAAGGACTTAGACATGGAAGAAAAGTTTGGTCTTACACTAGCCAAATCGCGTCCTCTGTGTACTATACCTCTTCCAGTTTCTAACACACAAAGATAATCCAAGTATTATTTTTATTAATGCACTCTATAAAACGACCTCTAAAAGTCTGTCACTAATTGGCCTTGTACCATGATTTAATGGATTAAATTAATAGTGAGTCTACATTTGTTTTCTTTCTATGCAGAGAGTTTGAATATTCGGACAAAAATGGATATATTTAGTCATTATTTGTCTCATATTTTAATTTTGAGTATTAATTAATTGTTTAGGTTAGAATATACAGAACAATTTTGTGGGACATGTGTATGTTTTTTCTGGAAAAGATGATTTGTAAAAAAACAAAACTGCCTTTTTAATTCTCAATTTCCATTAAAGAAGAGAGGGGAAGTGCACAATATTTTTATCCATTAAAGATCAAAAATGTTTTCAGCCGTTAGGGCAAAAATTTTCCTTTATTAGATTGTTTGATGCTCACTTTTTGCTTCTATACTTGCGACTTCGAGCCTGATATAGCGTGATTAAAAGGAATTCTAGCAATAGTTACATAAGCTATCTCTTTAGCTATACTCTCCTCCTTTTTGCTCCTGTGTTCAAAAATTCTGTTGTTTCTCTCTATCCATAAGCCATATATACCTTCTGTCAACACTATCTTGAACATTTGTGTTGTTGCTCTCTTTCCCTTCCCATGTTGGATACACCATTGCTGAAATTGTTCCCAAACCAATGGAACGGTACCTTGATGATCTATCCTTCCCAAAATACTCTCCTACAGCTTCCTTGCACATTGACATTGTAGAAACAAATGTTCTATAGTCTCTTCAGCATTCTTGCATAACACACACACCTTATCTACTTCAATTCCCCATTGAGTTAATCTATCAATAGTTGACAACTTTTGATTCATCATAATCCACATTGTGATATAGACTTTTGGTCTTGCTGAATTACTATACATGAGGCATGTCCATGGTGGCCTTTGTTGCATTCCTTTCATTTGATAGTATATTTGTCTGAGTACACCTTTCCCTTTGTTTTGAACTTGCTGAACTTGATCAACTATCAATTTTGCATTCATTACTTTCTTAACCATCCAGCTTGCATAGTTACTCATCTTTCGTTCCCTCTGTCCCTTTATATAATATGCATGTATCCATTTGACCCACAACTTATCTTCTTTGTTAGCTAGATCCCAACGTAGTTTAGCTATTGCAGCCCTGTTCCATATTTTTATATTGACCAGGTCTAATCCTCCTTCATATTTAGGACAACACACTTTATCCCATGCTATTAGAGCGTTCTTTGTAACATAACCTACCCCTGACCATAGATAACTTCTGCATAAACCTTCAATCAGCTTAATTATCTTTGCAGAAATAATGAACAATTGTGCCCAGTAAGCCTGCACTCCAAACAAAACAGTCTTAACTAGTTGAGCTCTTCCTGCATAGGACAGCTTTTTTGCTGTCCAAGAGTTGATCCTTGCCATGATTTTATCAATAAGAGGATACCATTGGATTGTAGTCAGTTTCTTTGAAGACAGAGGCACCCCCAAGTACTTAAAAGAAAGCTCTTCTATTGTATATCCAAGCTGTTGAACAATTTGAGGTCTCACCTCCCTCTTGACTCTACCACAATAGATTGAGCTTTTAGTAATATTAGCTTGCAGACCTGAAGCTTGGGAAAACTCTGAAAAACATTTTTGAAGTGCCTTAATGGAATTAAGATCATCTCTAGAAAACAATAGCAAATCATCTGCAAAACACAAATGAATGATATCCAGCTTAGAGCACTTAGGATGGTACTTGAAGTTCTTCTCTTCTTTAAGTCCTTTGAACAACCTACTGAAGTACTCCATAGCTATAGAAAAAAGGAAAGGTGACATTGTATCTCCTTGCCTGAGCCCTTTAGCTGCATCAAACCTTTGAGTATTCTAACCATTGACTACAATAGTGTAATTCACTGTTTTAACACACTGCATTACCCATTGAGTAAATAATTCAGGAAAACCCAAGCCTACCACCACTTTCTCTAAGAAAGGACATTCTACTGAATCATATGCTTTTTGTAGGTCAATCTTAAGCATACTTCTAGGAGATACATTCTTCCTAGTATAAGCCTTTACCAATTCATAAGCTAGAATTATGTTGTCTCCAATTTTCCTCCCTGGAATGAATCCTGCTTGACTATCACCGATAACAGTGTGAATAACTTCATGTAATCTGTGAGTTATCAATTTTGAAATGATTTTATACAGGACAGTACAATAAGCAATAGGCCTATATTCTTTCACATTCTTTGGACTATGTACCTTTGGTATTAGAGAAACAAGGGTGCAGTTAAAAGGCTTAAAAAGATTCCCTGTTGTGAAGAAACTCTTGACAGCATTAATGACATCATAATCAATAATCTTCCATGTATACTTAAAAAATAGAGCATTGTAACCATCATTACCTGGAGCCTTATCATTCCCAACAGACTTCAAAGCTTCAGCTATCTCCTGGTCAGTTATTGTTGCACAAAGTTGAATTATGTGTTGTCTTGACAAAACAGGCCCCCTTTTCATCACCTGAACATTTATAGTTGGAAGATTATCTGCTGCTGTGCCCATTAGACTTTTGTAAAATAAGACAAACTCATCTTGAATCTCTTGGGGATCATACAACATCTTTCCATCTATTGACATCAAACTTCTAATATGCTTCTTATAATTTCTCTCCTTTATCGCAGAGCTAAAATATTTGTTGTTTGCATCCCCCAGCTTAATCCATTTTGCTCTTGCTTTTTTCCTAAGAGCACTTTCCTCAATCAAAGACCACTTTTCAAATTTTGTTACGAGATCTTTTTCTTTAGTAACTAAATCATCATTTGCTTGGTTACAAAGCTGATTTTAAATATCTGCAAGATCATTTCTAGCTTCCTCAATATGCTTGACTATATATTTAAACTCTCTCCTATTCAGTTGCTTCAAGACAGGCTAAAGAGCCTTCAACTTGCACCACACCATCTTCATTAAATCCCTTCCTTTCTTCTGCTTCCACACTTTCTCCACCAGTTCTAAGAAGGATTCATGTTCAGTCCATATATTAAAGAACTTAAAACTTTCTTTTACCTGTTGGTAATTTTGATGAAGTAACAATTGCATTGAGCTATGATCTGAAACTCCTTGATTACCATATTCTAAAATAACATGTCCCCATTTATCCATGCATGCATCATTCCCAAAGGCTCTATCAATCCTGCTTGAGATTCTAGCATTACCAATCTGCTTATTATTCCAAGTATAGTAACTACCTTTCCATTGCAATTCATTCATGCACATAACCTTGACACAGTCTACAAAATCCTTTATCTCATTCAAATTCACAGGAGTTCCAGCTAGTCTATCCTTGGGTGACAAAAGAGCATTAAAATCTCCTATTATGATCCATGGTTATGTAACATTTTGAACCATCTTGTTCATATCAGTCCATAAACTCTTCCTCTACTCTATAGTATTAAATCCATATACTACTGTGAGATTAAACTGATAACCTTTACTTCTTTCATTTATATGACAATGTATCATCTGAGCTGAACTAGTTATTAGATTAACATCATACCAACTATCATCCCATATAATCCAAATTCTCCCATTAACAGCCTCCTTGTAATTGTTCAGACTTTTCCATCCTGGAGCTATACCATTAATTGTAGTTTTTGCATTTACCTCTTTCACTCTAGTTTCAATTAACCCTGCTAAGGATACTATATTAAGCTGTAAAAATAGCTTTATCTCTTTCTGCTTATACCTATTATTCATGCTCCTCACATTCCAAAAACTCCACTTCATTAACAAGTTTTATAAGCTCCACCTCTATCCACAGGCAGTGAAGTCAGCTTGTTATTCATGAGGCTCTCAAATCCATTTCTCATTGGTATGGCTGATAACATAGGAAAATTGGAAAAACTAAATTCCAGCTGCTTACTTCTTGTATTAGGCCTTAGATTAAGTTTTGGTGTTTGCTTTATTTCATGATCTCTTCTTTGTTCTATCTCTTGTTTCTCCTTTTGCACAGAAGAAGAATCATCTTCTATATTCTCTAGCACCTTTCTTTGTTCACCCTTCTTCTCCTGCTGTTGGATTGGTCCTTTATATTGCCAAGTCTGTGTAACTTTTTTCCATGGCCTTCTCTTCTTTGGCAGATCCTCCATTGTTGTTGATTGACATTGATGTCCAATCTTCTGACATTTATCACAATATAGAGGCTTCCACTCCATCACAACATCCTGCATAAAAGTTCTACCATTTGGATCCATGACTGTTATCTTCTGAGGAATAGGCTTAGTAACATTCACTTCAATAAGCATTCTAGTATAGGATATTCTTGTCTGCTTTGTAGTACACTCATCAGCAAATAATGGCACTCCTATAGCACTAGCAATTCGACTCAGTGATCCAGCTCCCCGACAATTTAGAGGCAATTTAGGAAAGTTAACCCATAGAGGTATTTCAGTTAAGAACTCATTCCCAAAATCAAAATCAGGACTCCGTTGCTTCAATATAATAGGCCTATTACTTATAGTATATGGCCCTGAATATAGCACCTCATTCATGTCATTCAAGCTCTTAAACTTGATTATATAGTATCCTTTCTCATGAAGAAATACATCAGGTTTATCCACTTTCGACCAGTTCATCAGTATGTACCTACTCATAGTATTATATCCAGGACATTCACCAATTACATAGACTATAAGTGCACATTTCCACTTCTCTTCTTCAATCTGTACCTCTTTCCCTTCCAGCTGAACCATAGTTTGTCCATTCACTATTTGTGTAGGAAAGTAAGTCAACTTCATTCCATTGTTAGCTGCACGATTATTTTTAAACATATTAACCCAAGGCTCCTTATGTTCCTTACTTTTCTCCCTCTCTATACCTCCCTTACTGTTGTCAACTTCAGTTACTGTTCCATTGATATCCACCTTATTCTCACCATCAGAATGTTCTAGATCTGAGTTACCATGTACCTCTTCCTTCTCCAGTGAATAGTTTAAGCTCAAATTCCTTGAAACTTTAGAACTCACAGAGAGTCTATCTTCAAAACTACCTTCCTCCTTTTGAGCTTGTTCCTGCTGATTCAACTTGATTGCTTCCACTCGAGCTCCAACTGAGCTACCAACTGTTAGTATTGATGTTTTCCGGCCTCGGCCTCGGCCTCGCCCTCTTCCTCTTCCCCTCGCCATTTTCACCTGCACTGCGCATGATAGTTAAATACTTTTAAATAGTTTTCAGCTCGTAGAGCAAGATATTAACGACATAGATTGGAGAACGAATTTGTACTTAGAGTAGACACACAATATACCTAAATTTTCTTGCTAGGTTAATTTACAAAATCCGTTAATGTATTTATGTTGAAGTCCATAGACATGTAGACGTGAAAGTAATATGAGTAGACGTTTAAGAATTAGAAAGATTTTCATTCATAATATTAACTTAAACATAATTTAGAAGTTGAATTTACTGAAGGTAACGTGATAAATTGTAATATTTTTTAATATAATATATTTATATGAGTTTCCCTACATAAAATCTGCTATTTTCGATAAAAGTTCATTTATCATTTTCTTTATATTAGCTAGAATATAATTATAATTTTGAAATTCATTACTTGAATAAATAAAGTAACATTAGTTAATTTAATAAATATATTAATCATATTAAATATAGTTGAACACTCATTTAAAATAACAAATCTTTTTAAAGAAAAAGAGTAATAAATAGGTATGTTTTGAAAATATCAGTAAAATGCCTCATATATGTTTTTAGCCAATTTTCTAGCTCTTACACATTACAATGAGCGCAAGGTCATTTAGACATGGGAGTTTAGATAGAAAATATTATAACTTACACCAATAACAATAACATTTCATGATTTAAATATTAAACAAACAAGACAAATCGAAGGACATATATCGAGACAAAGGCATGACTTTTGAAATTCTTATTTTCGTTCTAACATGAATGACCAAACGATAAATTCACCATTATTACAATAATAATTATATCTTACTCTTTGAAAAATTGAGATCATCAATTATATGAATTTTCAATTATTTCTTGTAGGCATAAAAAGAGCTCGTGAGGTCGAGATATCATAACCATATGGCCAGAATTGGCAATAATTTTGACTTCATGAGGAGGACTTTTGTGTATATTATACATTTGAAATTCTTCTTGCATGACTTGATCATCTTGTGTTACAATGTAAACTCTTTTTACTGATCCATACTTTTCTTGTGTCAATAACCCTTCCTTTGACATGTCTTGTATGAAAAACTTTCCTGGTCTAATCAACATTTTTGATAATTCCAAGTCCTAACAAAAATTGCATGTCTCATCAAACTTTTTAATATATGTAAAATCCAAGGAGAGATATAATTGTAAAGCAATATTAAATATTTGATGGAAATTTGGACTTTTAAATTTGGGACCCAAGTGAAAATTCTCCTAATGTGAACAGAATATTAATAAATAGTGCAAATTATCATGATCTCCTTATGTGTCACTTGTATTATTTGTTATACTATTCACTCCGTCTACTTTTAATTTTTATATTATGTTTTTTTAAAATTAATTTAATTAATTTTTAAGATAAATTAGATTACATCAATTTAATATTTTAAAAAAATAAAAATAAATATTCAAAAATTATTATAAATTATATTTTTTTAATATCAATATAATTCAAAAGTATATTATAAAATATTACATGAAATTTTAATAATTTAACTCTAAAAAAATATTGTGACAATTAAAAATGGACGAAAAATATTATACCTTTAACATTAATTACTATTTTTCAAGATATAATACTAGGGATAGTTTAGAACAATAGTCACACGAATCATTAGCATGTCAAATCCAAATGTCACAAGTAAAAACAAATTAAAAAAGTACTAATGACGGGGATAGTTTAGAACAATAGTCACGCTAATCATTAGCATGTCAAATCCAAATGTCACAAGTAAAAACAAACAAAAAAAAGTAAAAGTACTAATTAATATTAGGATCTCAATGAATATATGGTTAGTATTTCACTAAATATGTTATCATCATTGTATAACTAAAGCCTTACTAAAGAAGCTAATAACTCACATTTATCCGTAGTTTACTCATCTTTCAGCAGGTTAATATGAGTTTAGTTCATAATTTATCAGCTGTTACGTATCACTAATTCATCAACTAATATAGTTATAAAAAAATCTGGATGAGTTAGTAAAAATTGAGTTTGTAAACGTCTTTCCATTTAATTTCACTTTCTTTTGGCCACCAATCAAAAAAAAAAATGAATACACAAATGAGTTAGAATTGCCAACTTTATTGATAATAACGAAGGATTGATTCTTAGATGATTACTCAATTATAGTATTTTATAAATTATTTTTTTAAAATTATTTTTAAAATAATAATTATTAATTGAGTGAGTATGAGAAATCTATCTTAAAATAGATGAACTTTTTTAGCGCTAATGCATCATATAATATTGGACATGTTTCAAAGGACACATATACGATCCTAATTGGTGTTTATTCATTTCAATATTAAATTAAAATAGAGAAGTGCATAGGTTAATAGGTATATTTTTTTAAAAAAAAAGGTCATTATTTCTTGATTGAACTTATGTATCCACTAATGTCATAATCTAGTAACCATTAACACCCACTAACCACATGTTCTACAATATTATTATCTCACTTTTTTGCTATGTAATATATGGAAAATTTCACACTTATAAATAGAAAAATATTGATGTTTCTTTTTGTGTGAAAGATGAAAAAAAGAAAAGAAAAAAAAAGAAAAAGAAAAATTGAGTGGGATAATATTGTTGTATGTGTAGTCAAAGAAAAAAGGGAAGAGAGAGAAAAATATTTTAGATCTCAACACAAAGAAATTTGATATTGAATGAAGATATTCTAAGGATAAAGCTTTAAACTCTTCCATTAATATAGACTTATTTAAGTTTTATGATATTATTGAATTGTTATATTTAAAAAGACAAGTTATGAATTGTTATATTTAAAAAGATAAATTATGAATCATACAATTCAATTGATACATATCATAAATCTTCTTAAAGAGATAATATAATATGTCTTAGTCTGAATATTTATTTTTTATTTTCAAATTTATTATAATTTATGATATATTTATCGATAGATCTTATAATCAATTTTTTTAAAATAAAAAAGAAGGGGTAATAACCTCTGGTTGGCAATTCTTGTAAAGATTAGCCTGCATGTACTGTGGGCCAAAAATAGCACTTGTTGGTGGATTTTCCATGCCTTGATCAAACTTAAATTGGCAATCCATAAGTGACTCCACTGAAGTCCTCTTGAAGTACTGCAATGCACCCATAATTATATGGCGGAACGACAATAGATAAATTAAATAAGGCCAAATACATATGCAGGTACCTAAAGTTATTTGTGTTTTTTCCTCAGGTACCTCAACTAACCAAGTTTCCTATTAAATCTTTTAACCCCCTATAATTTGATCCTTTTAAATATTCTTGGCTGATGTGGAGCAAAACGTGATTTCACGTCCTTTAAGCGCGTGCAGACTCTTTAAAAGCGCGGATGTGGATCTTGAACCACCCACCAACGATCTTCTTCCCCCTTTTAACCCTAATTTCTCCCATTCTTCCATTATTTCTCCTCTTTTGTTTCTCTTCATCATATTTATCTTCTTTACCTCATTATATATATCACTTTTTCATTGATTTCTTCTTAATCATCAAGTTCCAATGTCGAATTTATCTTCTTTATCGATTTCTTCTTCTTCAACTGCGAAGGTACTATGTCAACTCGAAAATCGCGAATGAACCCCAAAATCGTCTGCAATCTTCGATGATTCCTTCAACAAAACACTCAAAATCACTGTAAAATCTAAAAATTTCAGCTGTAAAAGTCATTGAAAGGGAGAGATTCTTAGGGTTTTCTCGTATAGAAACGGGTTAGAAAATATGTGGCACTGACGTGTAATTGGGTTGGAGTGTATTGGTCAAAATTTCCACGTGGAAAAGGTTCATCTCACGCGCATAATTGTCAAAAATAATTTATTGAAATTTGGCTCCACATCAGCCAAGAATATTTAAAAGGATCAAATTATAGGGGGTTAAAGGATTTAATAAGAATCTTGGTTAGTTGAGATACCTGGGGGGAAAAGTGCGAACAACTGTAGGGACCTGCGTATGTATTTGGCCATTAAATAACAGTGACATATTTATATTATGTTTGGATCATTGTTATTGATTATATTATTTCGCATTGTTACTATATCTACAATATTAGTTTTAATTGTTATTTAAAATGTATTGTACTATATTGTTAACTTTCGTTATTACATAGTAATAAAAAATTATATTTTGTGGAACAATCAATTTGGTGCGTTCTTTACTTAATTTCTTTTTCCAACTATATCTTTACATAATATTTCAAAATACTTTTTACTCTTTACCTTAATTATTTAAACCTAGTCAAGTCTCCTATCCTATAATAATTAAGGATATTTAAGTAAATTTATAAATTATAATACAGTATGATACGATCAAACCAAACAATTAAAATGTTAATAAACAATAACAAACAACACAATCTAGCCAAACATTGTATCTACCATATAATAATACATTATAATATAATATAATATATTATAAAATAATAAATAACAATAATCCAAATAAATTGAATAATAATAACATATTTAGTGAAAGATATTAAATAATATTACGTAAAATCTTCGAAAGCAAATTATGTTTATGAGAAAGAAAATACTTACAAGATCTGATCATTTACTATTAGGATCTAGTAGGATCAAATCCTTTTCGAAGATTTCGTTTATGAGAAAGAAAATACTTACAAGATCTGATCATTTACTATTAGGATCTAGTAGGATCAAATCCTATTCCATGAAATTTACTTCAATCTTATTCTAACATAATAAATTGAGCATTAAAAAATAATAAAAGTAACTCTTAAAAAGCTAAACAGTATGACACAAATTGAGATAAGGTAGAGTACTTTTTTTTTTCGTTTTTCTTTTTGATGAAAATTGAACTCATGGATTGCAAAAATTACCTCATGAATAAGAAGAGCTAAAAACAAAAAGTCATAAGTAGTCATAAATAAATCCTCAAAAAGAAAAAAAATCATATAAATTGAAACAAAATAATGAAAATTACCTCAAGAATAAGAAGAGAAGGTGGATCCACATGATTAGGCATATAAGCAGAGATAAAAACTCCTGTTGAAATTTTGTGTGGGAAAGCTTCCATAGCAAGAGAAATACAAAGACCACCGTAACTATGACTAACCAAAATAATCTTTTCATCTTTAGACAAAGATATCATAAGATCCATCAAAGGTTGAATATAATCAAATATTGAATCAATTTCATTCAATTGTTTCATATTAATTCCACAACCACCAAGGTCTAAAGCAGTCACTTTATGACCACATTTTTCCAATAAATTGATAATTTTGTACCAACACCAAGAACCATGACAAAATCCATGAACTAGGATAAAATGCTTCTTTGGAATTTTCTCCATGTTAAAACTTTTAATTCCTCCAATTTTCTCCATATTATTATTGTGTAGATAAATGCTACTTAAAAGATAGCCACATTTGTATTTATTTAAACTTTTCCTATCTCTATTATATAGTTTTTTTATTACACTCGCTTATTATGTGTTGGAGTTTTTGGTCAAAATTATCCTTAAACTACATCCAAATTTAAATTACATCCTTAAAATATTATCTTTAGTAAGAAATATATTTCAAGTATTTAAAAGTGAATAATTTTTATCCGTATATTTTAATTTTTCGGAAAATGAACAAATCAAGTTATTTCTTCCTATTTATTATTCTTAGATTTATCAAAAATATTATCGTAAACTTTTTTGATTATTGAGTTTAGCATTATACAAAAAATTTTAATTTGACAGTTTATTCATTTATTTTTCATGTATTTTATATTAAAAATATTATTAGTTGAAATATGTTTCTTCTCAATTCAATATACTAGAAGCAGCGGTTGTGGAGACTTCCGCTTCTAATAATGTAGAAAGAAACTCAAATGCGAGACATACTCAATATTTTGATCACTTCAATATCACATTGGTCCAAAAAATTTATTGATCTAAACACAGTTTGGCTATGAAAAAGGTAAAGATAATTAAGCTCCAACTTCTTTTCGTTACTAAATAAGAGAATAGCAGATAATGTACCCTCGCACATTCCAAATAATTTTTATTTCTATAAGCAATAATGTCTAAGATTTTAAGTATTTTTTTCAAGAACTTCATATAGAAAGTGATGAATATGCAGGAAAACTTTTGTTGATAGTCACGTGAATTGCTCATATATTTGTAGGATCCCTTAGTTTTTTGATTATATCTCACATAAGAATGAAAATTGTTCACTTTTAAATACTCGAAAGATGTTTTCTACTAAAAATAATACTTTAAAGATATAAATTAAGTTTGAAGTATACTTGAAAAATGTTTTTTACCAAAATAAAAAGTGTTTTGACTAGAATTCACATTTGAAATTATTTGTAAGTAATAGTCATTGCATCTAATTACAAAAATATTTTTTTAAAAGTACACAATTACAACTCTATTTATTTTAAAAAATAATGGAATTCTATTTTTTTTTTAAAAAAAATTGTTAAGCTTGAGAAGAAAACAATAGTTAAATAAATAATTCATTATATTTTAAAGAAGAAATACACCGTGGGTACTTTATAATTTGGTGGTAGCCTCGTTTCATATATATTGTCTCCATTTTAAATGTGCATATATAAGTACTTTAACTTTGTTTGCAATGGAAATAAATTGTAATCACATAAAACAAGTAGAAACATAACTTTATTGATCAAGATAGATTGTGAGTTCAATTCTATTGATCCCTTCATTCTATTTTTTTAAGATCTATCCATGATTTGAGGGTCGCTAATAACGTAGTTCTCGAACTAGAATGATTTAGGTTTGACTTCTCTATATGAATAATCCATCAATTTGAGGAGTATTCGAGATCTTGATCTCTTTATGAAATTTTTGAGATGTTTTTTACGAGAATTCAGTTGTCTTTATATAGGCATAAACTAGGGTTTAGAGTTGAGTAGTTTCCAAGAATCCTAATTTGAGTCGAACACAATTTGTAAAGTCTTAACTCGAATTGAACGCTCTTGTAGACTCCAAAAAATTTCAATGTCTACAAATGTCCCCTGCTTCAAGACTTGTCGGAGTTTAGATTTGATGAAACTGATAGAAGAGGCTTGAAGTACTCATTCTTCCACCTTCGCAGCTTCAAATTTAATTTAAGAGAGAAGAGATGAAGGCAGATTGGGTCCCACTAGGCGTGCCGAATTTGTTTACAATATTTTAAAGTGACAAAAAATAAATTTCGATCACAATAAAATAAGTAAAAACGTAACTTTATTAATCAAGGTAGATTGCGAGTACAATTTTGTTGATCCTTTGATTCTACTCTCTTAGGATTTATCTATGATTCGAGGGTCGTTAATGACGTAGTTCTCGAACTAGGATGATTGAGGTTTGACCTCTCTACATGAATAATTCATCAATTTGTGGAGTATTCGAGATCTTGATCTCTTTATGGAATTTCGTAGATGTCTTTTAAGAAAATTTAGTACTCTTTATATAGACAAAAACTAGGATTTAGAGTTGAGTAGCCACATACACAAGCGAGAGAGAACTTTAAATCCACCCACATGGCGCCACTACATAGCAGGATTCTCGTTTAATTTATTTATTTCAAAACTAGCCTTCACCTTTTATGAAAACTTGTGACTTTTAAATAATTGCAACTTTTACGAAGAAATTGAAAGCGAATGAGAGCGAAAAGATAGCACAGGGATTTATATAAAAATAAATCTTTGATTTTTTTAAATGTGTGATCCCCAACCGACTAAAATAAAATTTTGGGAAAGAAAATGAGAGAGAGAAAATAGTGAAGAAATTTTTATAAAATAAATCTTTCGTATTTTTCTTAAATTCATGGGTCCCAACTGAATTACCGAAATAGTGTAACATTTGATGCACATTTACTGCAAAATACAAATATATGAAATAGTAGCTATAAGATTTGTTTTGATTTAAATGTTTGTTATTATTATGTATAATTTTTTCTTTAAAATATCAATGATTTATAATTTTCTGAACAATTTATTCATTAGAGGTTCTTGAGTTATGTAATAACGACAAATAATCAAATTTATATTTATGTTGAAATATTGCTAATATTTTTTAAAAACCTATTTTTCCTATCATTTTTAATTTATAGATTTAATAAAAAATTATTTGCAAATTTAATACAATTATTATTTATAATCGTACGAAACGCAAATATATTACTTATTACTACTCATAATTCATTCCTTACACTCTCTTTGCCACACCAACTTTACTACCAATTATTTAATACCTAATTAAACTTGAATTTTCACGTTACACTACTCATCTCATATTTAGAAAATAATTTTAAAAAAAATCTATTTTGAGAAATTCCTACCACTCAAGTGAAGAAATCCCAAAATTAGCTCAGCACGAATTTAGTCTTATCTGTTGAGCTAAGCTAGGATGGAAAATTAAGTGGACCAAACACAGCATATGCCCACGTGAATAATTGGTTATTAATCACCCATGACGCTTGCGTACCGCATTTATTTTGATAGTACCATAGTTATAAATGTCCTTTTTTAAATAATATTAAATATAAAATTATCTATTGATTATGATTCCATAGAGAATTAAATCGTCAATTTATTTTATGAGGTGTCAATTTTGTGTTAATATTTATTAAATTAAAATTTGATTATTATGTACAATATAATTTTTTGATAAAAATAAATTTGTCGCTATTTCATGTTATTTTTATCACCTTTCACTAATAATAAATACTCTATTTTATTTCAAAGACTTAATACTCTTTTCGTTCGAAATTATTTATCATTATTTCTATTTTTAGAGTCAAACTATAAAAATTTTGGCTAACATTTTAAGATGTATTTTTTCATTATATTAATATGCAAAAAAAATTGCAATTTAAAGTACTTTTTATATAGTTTTAGAATTTCTAATTTTTTTGTTTAAAATGTCAATTAATTTGATCTAATTTAACTTGAAAAACTAATCAAATTGACTTTTGAAAAGCATAACATGATAAATAATTTCGGACGGAGGCAATACCAATTACTTCTTTCTGTGTTTTTCTTTCACACTTTTCCAGATTCATTTTATTTTATTAAAGTGAAGAGAAATTAATGTGGTAATAAAAAATGTAGAAATCAAATAAAAATATTCAATAATGATGATTGATAGGAAAACAGATTAATATAATTTCGTTCTTATTAAAAATAGAAATAATATATTTAAATTTTATAATAAAACATGATTAAACGTAATTATATTTTAATTATGCAATGTACTTTCTTTCGTATCAAAACTCCATCTTGTTTTACAATTCATAATGGTGTCCATCATGTTATGTAAACACAAAACACGTTACTACTTCCTCCTATTACAAGTTTTTTTATTTATGCTTATTGAAGGTCTGGATTTAATTAGTTTACATTTCAATCTATTAGGTATATTTTCTTTTAAAAAAAGAAATAAAAATGTTTAATTTGATCGGATCAAAAAACAAGAGTCTTAAGATCATTTTCTCTTTAAACACACTAATTTTTTATTTAGAAAAATATCATTTGTTTCATAATATAAACGCCTAGTGCAGGTTATCTCTCCTATGTGGTTTGCGAGCTATTGTACAGAAACAGAGATTTTACCCTATGCGCAATCAAAGGATAGCGACTGCGGATTTTTCTTGTCATAAAAAATAATAAAATTGTGTTAGAAGACTCTTAATTTTATGATTTTTTTATGAATGAAGTTGTTTTAATTGGTATAACACCTCTAAGTTTTTTCTAAGTATGGAGTTTGAGAATTAAAAAGAAAACATTGAACAAGTTTATCTCTCAGGATCCACGATGATCATATGTGGTCTGACAACTAATATTTGACTATAAATGATCCTTTTTATAGTTTGATTTTTGTTATGTGAAAAGAAACTTTACACATATATGCCATACATAAAGTATTATTATTATTATTAGTTAGAGACGCTATACAATATGAAACCATATATTCTATATTCGATGTACTTTACAGCAACCCTGACTTATCTCTTCATTCTTTGATGTGATTAAAAAAGCATGGCAAATACTAGATTTCTTGGTTGGTATCTTATCAAATATTGATCTAGTAATCTAGTTCATGATTTAGTAGTAGTCTAAATAGAATATGAACTATTAATTCGTTCAACTTAGTTTTTCAATGTATATTTGATTGCATTTTGGAATATGGACATCTATTATGAAAGTAAAACCTATTGAAAAAAATGAAATTTGTAGTTCAAAGAAAAGAAAATTAATGTGAAGAATTGATGACAGAGTGTGTTTGATAGGAAGGAAAATGTTTTTAATGGAAATAATTTTTTTGGAAAATTAGTAAATTTCTAACTTATTTTCTCATATTTGGTTAGTAAGTAGAAAACATTATTCGGAAAAATATTTTTTAATGTTT